TCTAAGGCCTACTTAAAAGGCCCGATTTAGGAACAGACATTAAGGTTCAAAGACTGAAATCACAGAGGGTATAGCTTTGGAGGGCAGAAGCAGATCAGCCAATGAGACTCAGAGAATACCTCTGACTTCAGGAGCCTGATGCCATCTGAGTCATGGTGACTTGGGCCAGGCTCCCCACTTTGGAAGCCTTTCTTTGTCCTTGGTCCCCTTCTTTGTTTTCAGATCTTGTGTGTGCTGTCCTCCCTCCTAAGGGGATAAAAGGACTCTGGTTGGGCAGTTAGGATTCAGAAGTCCAAATGTGGCTGCCCAACCTCTGGCCTGCCACAGGCAGTCATCCAAGGTCATCTGCTACGCACAGTCAGGGGTACAGAGGCCCTGTCCAGCTTTGATAGTTCTAAAGTGGAAGCAGGTGCCCGGGAGAGCTGAAAGTTAAGTCCTGCAGCAGTGAGGCCAAGGGCAGCCACGGGAAGTGCTGGAGCTCTCCCACGCTGGCCGATTCTGAGCTTGGCCTTATTCCCTCTATTAGAACCTACTGAAAATGTAGACCTCCAACTTGCATCTGTTGTATATATATTAATGAGGAACTATGGCCACCACTTTAGGATGGACACCATCCTCTGAGACAAAACAGATAACTGTTTATGCAAGAAGAGCTATTGCCTATGTGTCTCTGGGTCTCCAGCAGTCAGAGACTGTCTAAAAGACGTGTTCGACAAAGTCCCTGGCGTGAACACTGACTGCAGGCAGTCTCTGCAGCGCCTGCTAGACTGTGTCCACCAGAGGGCGATGTAGCCCAGCCAGGCAGTGGGCAATGTTGCCCTCCCTGCCAAGTGGCCACCTCACAGACCCCTCAGTTTTTCTGTCTGTTGTCTTAGACAACAGTGCTCCAGGGGCTCAGGAGCCAAGCCTCCACCACACAATGGGCTGGTCTGGCAGTGTTGACAAGTGACTTGATTTCCAAGGTGTGGCTTTTCTGACCAGCACCTTTTCTGACCAGCTTTTCCTAGCTTCACTGGGCAATATGCAGATTCTCACCTCGCCTAACTTGCTCTCTATCCTGACGCACATAAACATCAGGAGAGCTTTCAAAATGTGATGTCTGGGCCTCCTCCAAGATGACAATGTAATTAGACCTGGCTAACCTGAGCACGGGGTTAGACCTGGCTAACCTGAGCATGGGGTTCCAGGACTCCAGGACTGAGACCCCTGCTAAGAACTTGGCATGGAAGACATACACCTTTTATTGGTATGCACTGCTGAATTCCAGGCTGCCTAACAGACAGCTAAAGTCTAGCTGGTCCTTCTATCCATCCATCCATCTACACATTCATCTGCTCACACACGCATCTTTCTTTTCTGTAGCTCTGCCCTGTACCCCCAAATGCCACTGCCCTCAGAAGCAGGCACATCTGGGCTTTGAGAAGTAGCTCAGTGGTTAAGACCACGTACTTCTCTTCCAGAGGACCTGAGTTTGGCTTCCATCATCCAAAGTGGCTCGTGTTAGGGGATGGTATTGTGCACTGTGTTTTAAATGCTGATTTCTGTGTCTGGTTGTAATCTGGACATTGGCAGTGTCATGATTATTACAGCATCTCCTGTCTCAATGATGTGTGAAGATTGTTTTCTAATAAAGTGCTGGTCAGCCAGTAGCTGGGCAGGAGAAGAGAACAGGGGAGGAGTTCCAATCCCAGTCAGTGAGTCCCAAGAGGAGAGAGAGACAGAGAGAAAGAGAGAGAGAGACAGAGAGGGAGAAAGAGGAGGAACAGGAGGATTTGCTATGAGGTCTCCATGACAGAGCAGCCATGAGGACACACATCGACCAGAGCGAGCCAAGGCAAGACTCAGAGGCGAGTAATGGGCATGTGGCTGGGAAGTGATCCAGGCCAGCACAGCTGGGGTAGGATGGCTCAGAACCTGCCCAACTTAGTGCTTATAGCTTATTAATAAACATAAGGTCTCTGTGTCATTTATTTGGGAACAAGGAGTCACATAGAAAAACTCCCATAATTACATTTACAACTAACAATTCCCTGTAATTCCAGCCACCAGAGGAGCTGATTCCTCTGGCCTCTGAAGACACCTGCTATTACCTGCACATGTATACACGTGTGCACACACACACACACACTTAAGAATAAAAATACACTTTAAAGCAGGCATGTGGAAGCAATGAAGTAGAATCCCACCAAGCCACTAGTTCCCTACTGCTCTTTTTGTAAAACTCTTGGCCCTGCACCTGTCACCTCCCCGAATGCCCAGGCCTCTGCTCATTTCCTGTCTCCTTCAGTTAACATATGCAAAAGCAGGCATTCTGGCAAGTCTGGGCATGAGGATCTTGAGTACCTCTGCCTGAATGGGGAACACTGAGTGACTGGGTAGGTACAGATACGTATTACTTGCCTACCTGCAGTCATCCACTGTGGGGTAGAACGTGTTTCCTCCCCCTGAGGGGCGGGGTCACAGTGGATGCTGTTTACTAAGCCAAGTCTATACAATAAACACAATTGTGTCATCATAGCTAACAGCAATATCACAGTCAGGCCCATCTTCCAATGAGGAAGTGAAACTGGGGTTCTGGGAGATTGAGTCACTTGCTGAGGTCACTAGGACACACAGCATTTAAAATCAAGGCATTTTGACTGCAGAGCCTGTGTTTCTGCGCCCAGGCTCCCAAGTATCTGCATTGCTCTGTCCTGTACTGAGTGGGCTGCTTGCTCTGTCCTTTACAATGAGGGCCAGGCTTCCTGCCACTTGTATATCCACTTGGCAAAGGCAATCTGCCTGCTTCTAGACCCTTGGATGCTAGGGAAAGTGGCTTTGAGCCTAACACGAAAGGCATTTCCTGGCCAATGGGCCAGGCTTGGCACCTACTCAAAAGCTGGGAACAGGTCTAAAGACAGATATATGCCCTTCTAGTCATTCAGGCAGAGGCAGTATCCCTGAGAGCTGCTTCCCACAGCAAACGAGGGCTTCTTGAGGCAGGTCCTACAGGCATCAGCCACTGGCCGTGTATGAGCCTTCCCAAACCAGCTGTTCCCCAAGGCAGCGGATTATGGTTCCATTCTACAGTCAAGGAGACAGACTGATAAGGAACTGAGGCAGTGTGTGGCTTCGTAGTGAAACTCAAACCTTTGGCTTCTCATCTAGATACCGTGTTCTCACCACTCCTTACTGTCTGAAGCTGAGAAACCACTTAACCCTCCCTTCCACAGGAGAGGAAACCCATCTTTGCACGTAAAGCTGTGTACCAGGCCCTGCTTAGAGAGACAGGATGGTGAGAAGCCCCAAATGTGAGCACCAATACTTCTGTGCTATAACCATTGCCATGGCCTCATGGAGGTGCTGGAGACCTTCGCATGTAGCAGAAGCAGAACTCTGGGACCCTAGGCACCTCCTTTCCTTATTTCAGTGTCACCATGTCACATTGTCTGTGAGGATCAATGTCACTGCTTCCAGTGTCCAGGCTGGCCCAGAACAGGTACAGTGGGAGACAGCAGTGCTTCCTGAGGATGGGAAGAGGACAGAACTACATTCCCATCCCCAAAACTCTCTTCCTTGGCCAGTTCCAGTCCATCTTGCCTTCTCAGGCTGTGGAAATTTGTACCTCAGCCCAAAAGAATGAACTGCTGGCAGTCAGTAGCATGGCTACTGGATCAGCCAATCAGGAGCTAGGACCGCCTCATCCACCTCCAGGACAAAGAGCCAGCTGGGCCCCAGGGGCTGGACCAGAGGGGCCCAAGGGAGGGCCCTGTCTGAGAACTGTGCCCTAGGCTACAGGCAGGAGCAGACTGAGGGAAGCAGGGACAAACTGGAAGCTTACAAAATGGGAGGCATGGAAGCGGTGAAGAGAACCCAGTCAGGGAGCCCCTGCACACCATGGTTATGCTGGCTGGCAGGCAGCTGCTAGGTGCTGTGTCTTATAGCTAGACTCTTTGACTGTGCAGTCAGCTTTGTCAGCATACTGGAACACACCATCTAGGCACTAAGCATTTTCTCTCCCTTCTCCAGGCAGGCAAGGACTCCTGTGGAATAATTTTAGAACTTAGATGCTGACTCCTGTCCCAAGAATGAAGATGAACAATAAAAAGATGTGTAGTTTCAGACAGGTGGGGTGACATGCACCTTTTATCCCAGCTCTCAGAAGGCAGAGGCAGAAGGACCTCTGTGAGGCCAGCCTGGTCTACAGAGAAAACTGGAGGTCAGCCGAGACAACAGAGAGACCCTGTCTCAAAAACTGAAACAACAAAAAGATGTGCAGTTACTGCTGTCACCTCTCTGCCTTGTCCCCATTTCTTAGATGAGGATTTTGAGGTGTAAACAATCAAGGGGCATGGCCTTTTTTGACTAGCTACTTTGGGATTTGAATCCATGCCTAAAATCTTTTTTCTTTTTTCTTCATCTTCCTGCCTAATCTAGGGCCAGCCTCTAAATCTTTTTTGAATTATTATTATTTTTAAGACAGGGTTTCATATAGCCCAGGCTGGCCTCAATACTTGCCACGTGGTCGAGAATGAACCTGAACTCCTCACCTTCCAGTTACCACCTCCCAAATATCGGGGATACACACTGCTGGGGATGGGGCCTCATACATGTGAGGCAAATACTCTACCAACAGAACTACATCCCTCATGCATGGGCACGCACGCGTGCATGCGTGTGATGGCGCTGGAGATAAGATCGAATTTTATGCATCCTAAGTAAACACTAGTACTGAGACACACTTCCAGCTCGGTGTCTCTGCTCCTGCTCTCAGGCCTGGCTTGCTGCCTCTGTGAACTTCTGGGCTGGCCCTCTCTACCCAGACAGGTTATAGCTAGTCTCACCTCTGACCATAACCCCATGGTGACATCTGTGGTTCCTGTAGTGCCAGGGCCCTGGAGCAAAAGGAAACCCCTAAACACAAACACATTTGCATGAAGACCCAGGGGTATGCCACTGCAGGCAACAGTGGCAGCAGCACCTGCCACTAACTTCCTGGGACATAAATGTCCCCACAGCCATGCTGGTACCATTCAATGTTTATTTAGACACACATAAAAGAACCCATAGTTCAGACAGCTTGTGCTCTTCGTTTCTTTTGGTCATATATATACATACATACATACATACATACATATATATGTATATGTGTGTATACATATACACACATATACATTTTTTTTTAAAAAAGGTCAACACATCACCAGTCTCCTATATGCTTTCTATACTGAGCAATATATACAGCCTATTATATATATGTGTATATATATAATATATATTTCAATAACTACATTCAAGTAATGAAACACAGGATTTACAGTTTCCCTCTGATGGCAAAGGGAAGGCAAATTCACAAACAGTTCACAGAGGAAGTACTGTGAGTCCAGCCAACAGGAGCCAGACTCTCTGAGGAAGAGGGGGCAGCAGCAGAAATCAACCAGTCACCCACTATTCTCCATGGGCAGTGTGGATGCAAACCAGGGCAGCGGGCCTACTCTGCTGGGGTGTTCAAAGAAGGTCCTGCTCAAATTTGGGATTCACAAAGGAGAAGCCATGGAAGGCTGTCTGGTCCATAGAGTCGATGAGGTTCTTGTCACTGAAGGAAAGTTGGGGTTTCTCATTCAGGAACTCTGGGTCAAAGTTGCTGTAGTCTGAAGCAGATTTCTGTGAGCAAAAGGCAGCAGTGAGTAAGAGTGACCGAAGGGGTGTCTCCAAGGTCTGCCTTCAAAGACATGGCAGGCACCCAGGCTTCTGGGGCCCTTGTCGTGACAAGCCAGACCAGTCACCTCAGTTGGGAAAGAGGATGTCACTGGTAACCCAAGGAGAGTCTCATCACAGGGGAATGATATTTCCCCAAGGGATAAGGAAGGCAAGCAGGGCGCACTGGGTAAGTAAGGACAGGGGCCATCTTCCAGAACAGGGCCAGTGAACTACCAGCTGTGGGCCACATAGCTCCTGCTCTGCTCTTAAAGGAGGCCTATAAACTAAGAAAAGCTTTTGCTATTTTTGGTTAGCTCGTTTCAGTTTTGGTATTTTTGAAACAAAGTCTCATTATATAGACCAGCTGTCTACAAATTCATTCATGATCTTCCTGCCTCAGCCTCCCAAACACTAGAACCACTAAGCACCACCACTCACAGCTCTAGAGTCTACAATTTTAAATGGTTGGGGAAAAAAAAAAGACTATCCAATGGAATATGAAAATGAAGTCAAATGCAAATGTTGTCTGTGCCCACAAATCAAGTTTCATGACTACACAACCACTCTCATCTGCTGAACAAGGAGTGGGGCTGCACTGAGCATGGGGCTGTAAAACTCTAAATATTTACTCTCAGGTTGTTTATAAGAAAAGTTCCTAATTCACTGCCTCCGAGGACTGGATAAGATGGTGATAGGTTTCTGATGACCTTTGGGCCAAATTGAGCTAGAGGCACAGCATCTCACTAGCACGGTTTGTTGGGTAAATTGCTAGGAGTCTGATCAGGAGGCTTGTGTGTGTTAAGTGTTCCACAATCGAGCTGCATGCCTAGCCTCAGGGCTGGGTTTTGACAGACTCTAAAGTAATATTTCTTAACATGGAAATTCAGATTTCTGGCTTCTTTTGACAACTGGTGGATTAGAGGAGAAAGAGCACGTCCTTCTTTCTTCTTACCATATACCACAATCCAAGAGATAATCGCTACTACTCCATTTGCAGAAAAACAGGCTCAGAGACATCAGGCCTCACTCTGTGGCCAGAGATTTGATGGGTAAAATATTGGAATCTGGTTTTTGGTCTTGTTTTTGCTCTTTCAAGATAGTCTCATGAAACTGAGGCTGGCCCTGAATCTTGCCTCTACCTCCCAAGGGCTGAGATTATAGGTATGTCCTACCATGCCTGGTTTTGGTCTTTTGTTTTTACCTTTACTTGGGGAGGACACCGACCTGTTAGGTGAGTACTCTGCCATGAGCTATAGCTACACCAGAGGCCCTGGGCTTACCTCCTGTCAGGCCTGCTCTTAGGGCTGAGAGCCCACTGCCCTGCTTCTATACCTACCCTGCCCCCAGAGGCAGAGGCTGTTCCTCACCACACATGCCTACTGTGTGGAGGAAGAAAGCTATGCTGCTCTTACAGCTGGGCCAGCTTGTCACCCTGGCCAGGGAGCCTCTGACTATGAGATCCACAGGGGGAAGTGCTCTGCTGTCTCAAAGCACAAATGTGGGGCATGTCACAGACTGCCCAGTGGGAACAGTATGTCCCGACAGAGGACACAAAGCAAGTGAGAGAAAAGGCAACCAGAGAAGGAGCTATGACCACAAAAGGGACACTGTGTCCTAACTTCTTTTTTAAAGACAGGATCATTCTGTGAAGCCTGGGCTTGAAGTTGAGACCCTCCTGCATCCCACTAAGCATTAGGATGACAGTGCACTTATGTACACACACAGCAGGTTCCAGCTTCCCAGTGAAATGATCTACTCATCTCAGCCAGTCCCAGTGACTGCTGAGGATGAGGCCTTGATACAAACCAGCTCACTACCTGGGACGCCCTCTACCTGTCTGAGCCCTATCCCCTATTCCAGTCCTTCCAGAGCATCCTCACAGACCACTCTGGATCTTGCAGTCTCAGTTCCTATTGCTATGCCCTCCAGGAAGCAACCCGTAATGTGTGCCCTGTGACATCTCCCATACTGTGTGCCCTGTGACATCTCCCATACTGTGT